TTTTTTCCTTTTTCTCGTTTTTTTCCTTTTCCCTTGTTTTCACTTTCAAACATCTACATAATGAATATCTATATCTGTGAAAGCATTTTCTCCCCTCGCCTTATCTACTAAATATGATCCCCTCTAACAACGAAACCCCCGTCAATGAGCCTTCGTGCACTACGCAGGTTGAATGCTTCGACCCAGAAGAAGATGGCAGTATGGTAGTCCTTCCTTCTGGGAGGTCTGCATGGAAAAGAAAGGCAAGGGAGCAAGACCAGTTCGTACACGTCAGGTACACAAGCAGGCTGATGGAAGCAGTTCCTCTGAGAAGCATGGTCTTGGAGGCACTCAGGCAGGTTAAAGGGGAGAGATCGACGGAATGGCTAGAGGACGTGGTCATTGGATGGTGATATGACGATGCCTTGGGCTCCAGGATCTGCAAACCAGCGAAGGTGTTCAGGAAGTTCAGGATGGACGAATGAGAAGCGGGGTACATACCTGAGTTTTGCCAGTGCGGCGCAGGGAGGCACGCCGAGTACCTTAACACCGCCACCATCAAGTTACTCCCGGAAGAGGGCACCCTGCACGTCATCACTAATGACACCGAAGTGACAAACAACGGCCAGCTACAGCTCATGCTCAATGCGGGACTGAATCACATCCCACTCAAAGCACTTGATGAAGAATTTATGCTGGACGAAGTCGAGGTGGCGCTGGACAAGATACTTACCACACGAAGATGTGACGAGGAGTTGTCCTTGGGAGAAGAGAGGAGGGCGAAGATGATTGCACGAGAAAACGCGAAGAAAAGTATCAGGAGTTTTCGAGCGAAGCACATGCATATTACTGGCGAACCCATCAACAGTGTGGTGGTAAGGAGCGAGATCGAATGGCTAACCAGTCGTTACCTCATTTGTCCAACGAACAAGGCGCCGCACACCCCCACTTTCGTCTGCATCAACTTCATCAGAAGGTTGGCGCTACGCAGGCTCTCGGGTCCGGATTTCACGCCGCTTCCAGATTCCCCAGAACAGGTGGCGGCGAGGTTGGTGAGGGAGGCTGCTGCCTTCACCCATATTGGGCACGAAGCGCTGCCACTCCCGCACCTCATGGCGGTTTACAAGGCGCACAAGCAATCTTTTAGGTGGATCACGAACTCTGCAGGATCGGTGCTCTCCCCGGTGGCGGACATCTGCGAGAGCCTGCTAAAGCTCCTGACAGAGGATGTCCAGGCCCTCTGCACAAGCAGGAGCGAGGAGATCCATGCTGAGCACGGGATCAGACCCAACTTCTGGTGGCCGATATCTTCGATCGGCGAGTTCGTAGCCAATATCCCGCAGCGCATCTACTCAGTCTTCACGGGGGATATCACCAGGTGCTTCGAAACGATACCCACGGACGGATCGGAAGACGGACTGCTGGAGGTGATCAGATTCTTCGTTCGCTGTGCCATGGAATGGAGGAGAACCAGAACAACCAGGGATGTAATCGCCATCAGGATCGCAACCAACGAGACATTACACCCCTACTGGGTGAACGGGGATCAGGACAGAGACAGGGATAGGTTGTATTTTGACGAGCAGGGGATCATCGATGCTTGTGAACGGCTCATCTCCAACGGGGTCGTGCAAATGGGAAACAGGGTCTGGAAACAGATCCTTGGGATTCCCATTGGATTGGCCTGTTCCCCCATCTTCTGTGATGGGTACTTCTTTAAATATGAGTATGGTCTAATCTCTCACCTGGTCGACATGTAGGATTGGATGGCGGTTGAATGTTTTCAGGACACCTACAGATATATAGACGATTTGTGTTCTCTAAACAACACGATCGTTACTGGGTTTCTCAAGAACGGGGTACGAGGCCAGAACCCAGGGCACAGGATCTATCCACACGAGCTCATTGAAGTAAAGGAAATGACCGAGGTTGTAATCGACGGGCATGGCAAGGCCGCAAACTTTCTCAACCTCTCATTAACGGTCTTGTCCACTGTGGACAGCACGTACTTCACGACGAAGCACGATAAGAAGAGGGGCCTTTCATTCTCCCCCGTCAAGTTCACGAAGTTCAGATCGAACCGTTCCATCTCCCAATCTCTGCAGATCCTGACGGTTCAAACTGTCCTGACTCTCATCATCTGTTCTGATGACCAGGAAGCCGCCCTGGAAATCAATGACCTAGTCCAAACCATGGTCTCAAACTAATTCGGCAGAAAGGAATGTTGGAAGGTAGGGTTTTTCGCAACAGGAAGAGATATCAGCCCGGCAGGGTTATTGACGAGATGGTCAAGGCCAAACTTATCACCAGATTTGGCATGAACTAATTCGTGTTCTGTGGTGTCTGGCACTGTCTGCGAGTGTGTGTGGGGACCGGGGGCCTACGGGCTGGAAGGGCCCGATGCCTCCCGACATCCAACCTTCCGGCCTGTATCCCATTTCCCGGTGGGACAGGGGCGGGGCACACACACACACACAAACACACACACACAGTGTCACACACACACACACATAACAAGGGGACGAGGAGCGAGGATCGGCGGTGGATGAAGAAGAATCACCAAGTGCAGGAGACAGACGGCAAGGGCATTAAATGTCGAACAAAGCAATTAAGAGAAATAAATGAAGAATGAATAAATAAGCGAGGGGAGAAGGGAAAGGAACCCTGATGAAAGATTATACAGAACAACGATGCATGCCCTGTTAGGCGACGCGCCCCAGTTACAATACAGCTTCGCTCAGAGCTTATTACACAGCAAGAGACATACGAAGGGCTGCGGTTATGGGCCAAAGGAACGCTCACAGCSAACATCAAGCCCAAGTCCAAACATGCGCACAACCCGTACGCACAATAAAACGATTGATGAAGCCCGTATGCTATCAAACCGATTCGCGCGCGTTCCTTTCCCTGTTTATCTCCTTTTTTCCCACATTTTTTCCTTTTCTCCCCCTTTTCCCCCCTTCTTTTCTTTCTTTCCTCCTCCTCTTTTTTTCTTCTCTCCTTTCTTTTCTCTTCTTTTCTTTACTTTTTTTCTTCTCCTTTTTTTTTTCTCTTTTTTATTTTCTTCTGCGTCTTTTTCCTCGCTGTTTTTGTCCTTTTTTTTTTTTTTTTTTTTTTTTTTTTTTTTTTTTTTTTTTTTTTTTTTTTTTTTTTTTTTGACGAATCCATGCACGAATCACCAATAGTGACGTTTTGCCCAACTGGGGAAGGAGATGAGTGATACGGATCGTATCCTCCCGGCCAAGCGATGCTTGCTCCGATACCTTTTCGCTATTTGTTTGCATTAGTTTTTTTCTATTGTTTTCTCTTTTTTTCCCCTTTTTTTTGAATTGTGTTCCCCTTTTTTTGCTTAGTCCCCCGCCTCACGTCACCAACGACGCTTGTATTGTCCGCAGGGAATATCCCTCGGAAAGTGACGATGACGGGGCACTATTTCAGCAAGTGGAACATCCCTCGGACTCCCATCATCGGAGCAGCGCACAGGCTTTCCGCTCGACCGTAATTCACGATTGCGAGCCGAACGGCGGCAGGCATTCCAGTTGACAGGGGTTCGGCCAGATGGCGTTTTGAGCCCTGTATCGGGGAGACGGTGCCTCACGGCTGCCTTCGCTATGGACTACCAAGTGGATCGGGAGCTACTGGATCGAATGATCGACGACGAAGAGGACAGGGTATAAGCTTCTTCACCCTCACTTTCTTTGCACCACGCATGCGCCACGAGACTGTACAATCCTCCATTCTGTCGCGCTGCTTTTACATTACACGGGAAGGCTTTTAGCTGCTGATAATGCTCGTCTTTTTTCCTTTTCAAATTCTGCGTTGGGCAATTTGTAGACTGGTCGAGCTAGGGTCGATGGCGTTGAACAAAGAGGGGGTGGATGAGAAGATGGGGGTTGCTATCGAAGTGTCTGCCTATGTTCTGCTCGCTTTTGTCGCGTTACTTGCTTTTCTTTCCTTCCTTGCCTTCTTGCACCATTTGCAGGCTATGCCACCTCCTTCGCCGCTCTGACTCCCGAAGCATTTGTGATTTGAAAGCAGATGTTCCCTCTGATGAAGTCGTGCATTAGTGGCTAGCGGCATAAAAGCGCTTCAGGGATCGCCATTACCCTCCCTGCTTTAGCTGTCGTGGCAGTGCTCCCATATTACGCGGAACTGCTTCTGGGGATACAACTAGTTTTTTCATGTTCATTCTTCTGTATGAAGTCTTCGGGTCTTGTGTTCTGTTGAGTGAGATGGAAGGAGGAGAAGCGACATTTCAGCCATTTGGTCGGGGAAGAGTTCATTCTTTGATATATGGAGGACGTTGATTGTGTGATTGGCTTTTTTTTTCTCTATAAGTGGGTTCGTTCATTTCGTAAATCCCTATCTCCGCCACTATGATCGGTTTGTAGATAGATATGATAATTACGATGCATGAGCTATATTATATATATGTATATTTGCACTAACTCAAAACTTTAAGGGAGCACGAATGCCTTCAAACATAATATCCATCCACGTATTATCAGACAAGATCGGCAAATGGATTGGATACTATGATGAACAGCACCAATTGCTCTTGATCGTATATCTTGATTACCAAAAACCTCCATGTATTCGTCATATGGTCTAGATAAGGGGCATGTATGCAATAGCGTCACTTGGTAATGCATGAATGGGCCCGAATCAAGTTTGGGATCACATCTTCTTTCTACTACGCCACTTGAATGAAAACCTTGTGCGACGATTGTTGTTTTACACACTTGCATGTATCCTCAGATTCCCGGATTTTTCGGATTCAAAAGACCGACTCCACCAATCAACGAAGTGGATTGATGGGCGGTTCGCTCCCCTACTTTACCAATGAGACCACAGTAATTTCCCGATCACATGGGCCGCATGGCCTATTGCTTATTTATGACAAACCATCAAACATTAATTGAATGCAGCAAGACTACGTATGGCTGACAAAGAGTTTATATGATCTTTTCCGATGACTCGCACCAGATGGGGAAAATATTACCCCCGCCTAATGAAGTATTAAAGTATTCTATCGAAACATACCAGGCTAGTCGGACTGATCTGCGCTGACAAACGTCACCGACAGATCATGTCCAACTCAGGTCGTATGACGATTTCCATAAGGAGGTTTTCCTCCCGAAATGTAGGAACGTGCTTGCGCTCCGTACCCGTCCACGTGGCACTATCCCACGAACGATGTGACGTCGCACGAGCACCCCTGCTTTTGGGTATAAAATCTATAGAAGTATTGAACAACGGTTGCATGATGAGTCCTAACGAATCCTACCCCCCTACTAGGGCGCATTGTTAATTGAATTATATGCCATCGATCATAAGCGCTTATTATCTTATGCCCTGAGGACCTTTCATAACGCAAGAACGTGCTCGCGCTCCGTACCCGTCCACGTGGCATCTTCCCACGGACAAAACAACGAAGCACGAACACTCCTGCGTATGAGCATAAGAATCCATAATAGGATTGTATAACAGGCAATAGTTACAGGACTGTATACGATCGATTATATGCGCTTGCTATTTTATGACCTGAGATTCTGTCTAACGCAGGAACGTGCTTGCTCTCCGTACCCGTCCACGTGGCATTTCCCCTTGGACGGAGCAACGAAGCATGGGCACCCCTGATTACGAGCATGGAATCCATCAAAGCATTGTATGGAGGCTGATTGGGGAACTCTGACGAGTCCTACGCCCCCATTCAGGCTGGATTGTATGCATACACCCGCTACCTTATAATCGGGGGATATTATCAGTTGAGAATATATACCTCTTTAATTCTACTCGCCCTCCAAGAAAGGAATATGTCTCTGGGCCAGCAGATTGCACAGACATGGGGACAGGTTCTGGCCATGGTCCACGCATGGGATTCCCACGAAATGGGTTATGTGGTATAGGAAGTCTTGTGCTCGCCTGATGAGGATAACTGGGGCATGCCGATGAATTACTTCGGAGCTTGATGGCAATACGGTTTCCGTATCTTGCTTCGACATGCTTGTCATGGAGTACTCCAACACACACACACAAACACACGCGCACACACACACATGAACACACACACACACACACATGCACACAAACACACACGCACACACACATGAACACACACACACACACACACGTGCGCGCACGCACACACACACACAC